ATCATAGCAGCTAAGATGAGCAGGCACATGGCTCAATACATGAGCAGCACCCAGAAAGGAATTGGTAGTAACACCAGAGGAGCAAAGCACCAGCTACTGGTTGATAAAGTAGTCACTCGAGACTGCAAGACTAGGCATACCAACCTGTGCACTGCCTGGATTGACTACAAGAAAGCCTGTGACTCAATGCCTCACACATGGATCCTGGAATGCTTGGAACTGTACAACATCGACAGGACTTTAAGGGTCTTCATGAAGAACTCAATGGGAATGTGGAAAACAACCCTAGAGGCCAACATCAAGCCAACTGCACAAGTCAACATCAAGTACGGTATCTCCCAAGGAGATGCTCTGTCCCAGCTGTTGTTCTGCATAGGCCTGAACCTCCTCAGCCCAGGTGCAGGCCTGAGACTGACCAAAATGACCAAATACCTGCCAAACACGTCCTTTGTATACAATTTTGTTTTTCTGATTGTCCAAACATTATTATGCCGATGTATTCTGTTGATATGACTTCTGTTGCACATCTGTCTGTACTGGAAAAGGTTCCTGAGGTTTCTTCTATTTGTTTTTCCTGTTGATGTTTTTTTTAGTGGTAGAGTTTTTCTTTATCTGCTTTGCGGGTCAGAGAGAGGGTTGTACAGATTATAAAGCCGCTTGAAGCAAATTTGGGCCATACAACAACACTGACACACATATATATATATACTGTATATATACAGTATACACTCAAACAGAATCCTACCGTCCTGAAACATCCAGTTGAAGTCTCCAGTCTGCAACAGCAGGCTCCTCTCGTTCCCTTTCAGGATCAGACTCTGGTTCATATGGGTGTTTTCACACTTGGTCCCATTTAAATGAACCAAACTCAGTCCTTTCTAAAATGGACCAAATAGGGGACCAGCAGAACAAGGACTCAGTCCTGGACTTCAGCTTTGATGGGGCCTCAGTCCACTTTCTCTTCATACTACAATATATCCACTCTGGAGCTCTCAGACCTTTTACTGCTGTTAGAAATTAATAAATCAGTCAGATAATTATTAGACTTTAATGTGTTAGACTTTAATGTGTTATTAATGCAGTTTAGTAAGACTCAAAGTCTGCTCTGTTTCAAGGTTAGAAGATAATGTGGATTCTGAAAAGTGTACCTTGACACCAGTTGTTTTCTTGTATTAATCTTGTGTAAGAATTATATCTGAATGAATGTTTTAGTTACACATCATGCATACAACATACACACACATGGAATTCTTCATTTTGTTATGTCCAGCTGCTCCAAGCATGAGGAGCATAAGATATGAGAAGGAGATGCCAGACTGTCTCCATCTTGTGATGTGTTTATATCTTTTTGTGTAAGGGGTTAGCCCAAAATCTTATAAATGTATTAGGCTCTTTGTCCCGGGAGTCTCTCTTCTCCAGCAGCTTGTCTGAAGGAGGGAGCCACCCGGGTTTGTGCTTCTGTAACTTTTATTTGTGGTCTTTTTTAAATAAACCACCACTAAAATGAAGCAAGTCGGATTCCGTCTTCATTCAGATTTGTTCAATTAAAGAACTAGGGTGTAACACTGCTTTCACATGTGGCCTTTATGTCAAAGGACTGTCTAGTTTTTGTGTTTTTATTGTGTGTGGCAAAGTAGTTTTGACGTAGCTTTTTCACTTTGATGTAGTACTGCAGTGGGGTCCTAATGAAGCCCCTCATTCTCATATGAGCTGAAAAGTGAAGGAAAACCTTACCGTGTCAGTGCCTTGTAGACAGTTGTAGTTTGTTCCATGTCTGGAGAAGTGCTCTAGTTTCTTTCTCACACAAAACTGCTCATCCATATGGGTAATTAAGACTTTTAACAGTACTACTACTGCTTATCATTCTGCTACCTTTACTCCTATCAGTTGTTTTATTTTTTTAGGTAAAACAAAATAAGAAGAGCTTTAACATTGCTTTATTTTTTATTTTCCCATAATTACCATTAACATTCTTTAGTAACAAATTGCAGCAGCATTGTTTTGAAAAAACCACTAGACTATAATGTGATTACTGAAATGTAAAAAAAAAAAAAAAACTGAACACAAGCCTTTTTCTTTGACTGTACTTTTACTGTGAGGTGCCTCCAGCCCCCAAATTGCAATATCCATTCAGAGGAATCTGAGTTTGTTGGGACGGTTCACATTTTAAGACTCAAAGACTCGAAGTGTTTATTGTCATGTGCACAGTAAGGAAATGTAGCCGTCCCTGGTAGGCCTAATCGGGAAAAGCCGAAAGTGGCTTTCTAAAGTAAGGAAATGTGTTTCCCTGTACAATGAAATTCTTACTTTGCTGTCCACAATGAATGCCAAACAATACAAGGTGAAATATAAGGTAGATAAATAGTACACAAAATCTAAAGGCACTTTAGTGGAAACAAATGTAATAAAAAAATGAAAATATAAAGAATGTATGCTACATCGGAGCTGGATGTGCAGTAGGCTGCAGTGAGTTTATGCTTAAAATGCTGACTAATTACTCTGAGTTCATTTTGAGGGCTGAAGGGAACCAAGGGTGAAAACAATCTATATCTCTTACATTTCCAGCTGCACCCATTGCACAGGGTAAAGAACGACACCAACCGACTGAGGGCTTGCATTAGCCTATTCATTAGGTCCTATTCTGGCTGGCTGGGGGTGAAGATGAGTCATCACCTCCAGACACTCACAGTAGGTGCTCATGAATAATGTACATTTTATGTTAACAGCTTCCAAATCATCCTGCTAGAAGACACAGAAGACTCTGGGCTGCTTGTAAAAATGGATTTAAAGTAATCTAAACAACTTTGGCAGAATGAAATGTCATAGATATGTTTAAAATACACTCAATATTTATTAAAAAATTGTCAGAAAGGGCCATAAAACCATTAGTGATGTTACATGTGACACACAAGCTTTGAAGCTTGTGTTGAGCAGAGGGGCATTCCCAAATGAAGTCTTGCTTAGAAGCTTGTGTCATTAACCTAACTGTCATGTGACCAGTGACAAACGAGGGCTCATTTTGCTGGAATCAGGTGAATGATTCACTTTGAGCTTGGAGTGGATTGAGTAAAGACTTGTTCCCATGGATGATTCCCTGCTCCTATCAGGATACTATGCACCACTGGTAGCATGTCAGACACTTGTCAGACAGTGTCTTTTATAAAATGGAGCCACGAGACAAAAATGACTTGTTTGTGAACATTTTGGGTCAACTATTATTTCTAAATAAAAATCATTAACAAATACTCGCATCAGTTATACAAGCACGTAGGTCACTTAAAAATCATTAACAAATACTCGCATCAGCACGTAGGTCACTAAAGCACCTTTACTGCCCAACAAACTCTCTATCACAGGGAGAGCTTAATCATAACATCATGCATGGACAGCTGTCAGTACAGACTGCACCATTATTAGCCACTCCATATTCATAATAATTGTGTTGTGCAATGTGATGTGTCTGGGTCTGTTTGCTACACAAAACATGTCCACTGGATGTCAGGAGTACATACTGTACATGGTGTTCACTACTGTACACCGGTAAGTTAACCATGTTTAATGCAGTAGATCCCTGACCAGAGATGTGGAACCCAGCATAACAGATTGTAAGCAGTACCTGTATGATAAAAATTCTATATGGATTGACAATTCAGAACCCTACAGTGTGTTGCGTTGATATTATGTGGCTGTGTAAATAACCTTGCTTTTGGTTATTTCAGGATCAAGTTCAGTGCATTGTCTACACAATAAAATGCAAAACAATAGACACACTAAGCTAATTATCAGTGGTCATGTGGACATTCACCAAACCTCCGTGAGATAGATAGTGATTACAAACTAAATCAGTAAAATACAATACAAAGAATACCCACACATAAATTCACAGCTCTCTTTCATTGGCGGTGTTTTGACCAACAGGTCTTTTTCAGGCATTTGCCTGAGGGTGTTTGGTCAAAATGATGCTAAGCAAAGGGAGGTGTTTTGTATTTCATTATTCTAAGCTCCCTGACTGTGTGAACTTGCTGTCAGTCCCTGTCCAGGTCAAAGATTTGACTCAAACTCTTTGTGAAGCTCTGTCCCACTCTCATTCCAAATAGGCTGTGTTAGCTGGGATCAGAACATTGTCTCTTTCCATCTGTTCTGCTTCCCCTCCCCTTCACTTTTTAACATCAAATTCTCATGAAAATTGAATTATTCAGGCTCAGTTGTCCATGCTTTTCATCATGATGGCAAAAAGGGATATTTTTCAGTTTGAAATGAAACATCCACATGTATATCTATTTAGAGCAATGTACATGAGATACTATAATTAAAAATCTGTCTGGTGGTGTTTTGAGAGAGGTAAGTGAAATACTAACATGAGTGAAGCAGGGGAGGTAGGAACAGCTAGAGGGATATCTTGTCATTTCCCAACAGTTGTGTTTGGGAAACAGAGAGTCCAGTGCTGACAGCCTAATTCTCTCAGAAGAGTGAACAGCCCAGCCACACTGAGGACACATATGGCAGCCATTTACAGTAACAGATTTCTCTTTACACTTCACTTAACATGGGTTACTTCTGGAACCCTGTTGATGCCTGAACTACCACCCCCCGCTTTGCAAGAGCAAACAGGACGTTTAGGCATTAGCACAGCGCCTATAATGAGCAGGGGTATACTATACTTGTCTTGCTCTGTCAGAAATTATTTAAAGCTCCAACTGTCTTATCATTGAGTTGTCATTGAGACACTAGGCACTAAAAGGGATTGTATGAGTTTGTGGAATCTTTGTTTTCATGTTTCTCTTTAACTTTCAATTGAATGGCTGCTCATAAGTTGATAAGCCAGTCAGAGTCTGTCTCTTCTATCTCTAATGTATTTTCCTTCTCCCCAGGATCTGTTTGCACTGGATGTGGAGCCTTACCGATACAGTGGTGTGAACATGACAGGCTTCAGGATCCTCAACACTGAGAACAGCCAAGTGGCCTCCATCATAGAAAAATGGTCCATGGAGCGACTGCAGGCTCCACCCAAACCTGACTCTGGTCTACTGGACGGCTTCATGACCGTGAGTCTTATGGATAAAATGAATGAATGGAAGAATGAGTAGTGAATGATTGAAGCCATCCTTCAGTCCAACTGTAGCTACTTTCCTATTGTCTCAAATGCTTTGATTTCATGAAGTATGTTAATGAGAACATATCATCCATTTGCAACAGTGCTTGCTGTCTTCTCAGGTGTCTTTCATGCCTGCAGTTTGGTTCGTTTGGTCTGGACTGGAAACAAGAAATATTGTATATAGTTGCTTTGTGTTTGCTGGGTGTTCAGGAGCTCACAAACGATTTGTTAGAATAATTTGAAGAGACTGCAACTGGACCACAGATGTTAAAAATGAATGACAATAATGACACAGGACAGAAGTAGGACCAAAAGAAGTTGTCTTAACTTAGAATAACTCATCATTATTGTTAACTGAATGTGACTGCATCACATCAGCTGGCATGTCTTAGCTGTAAAGTGTACTTATGAATTGCTTTATTTATTGACAACTGCTGGAAAATGAATATTCATGATGCAGTTTGTTACCAACTCAGTTTTTCTATTCATGTAAAAACATTCTTTGTTTCTTTCACTTGTTTGACAAAATCTGTTAAATAACTTCTGCTATTTAGAAAATAGACACAAGATAAAACAGGTTCATTTTGTACAGTTATCACAGGACAGTACAGCTGCAGGGTGTATGTTACCAATCATGAATGATCTGCAATGCATAGATGCATTGCCTCTGAAACACTGTGGACATTGAAGCCATTACTGGTATGTGATGCAGCGATGGTGCAAACTCATCCACTGGACATGAAGAGTAGACAAGCAAGTGAAGTGTGGGTAAGTGGCAAATGTGTAAAGCATTCTGGAGAAGCTTCAGAGGTGTTGCCATTGTGGTTTACCCTTAGAGAACTGGGTTTGAGTCAAACCTCACTGATGCTGATGATGAGTTCCTTCAACTAGCCTATAGTTTCCCAGTGCTTTTTCACTATTTTCCT